CAGTAAATTTGTTCATTTAATTAGTCATTTCGCTTTATCGCAAAACAGCCATTTGGGCTAGTTGGTACCGATTCATTCTGAATACAAAAAGTTGGGTGCGGAACAGGGACAAAGACTGCACCTGCGTTACCGTTTTCTTTTCCTGTGGAGTACAGCACCCCACGATTTGCGTTGTTTATTTCAGTGCTCTTTTTACATTCCCATGTCATCTGCATGACGATTTCTACTTACTGCTTTAAACGTACTCCAAAAATCTTCCCATTGAGATTGTTTTAGATGTTGTGTAATACTGTCCAACATGTTTGTTTTCCCCCATTTCATGTACACTTATTCTGGTTTTTCTCATATTAATTTTCTTTTTAAGTAAGCATTTTGCCTAATAAATGTAATTAAACCAATGCAATGTCCTTTGGACGTTTAGCATGCCTGAATAATGAAATACTTAGCTTGTTCTCTTTTCTTTTCGTCTCAACGACGAGGTGCGTCCTCCAAGCACACATGTCTCTCCTCCTCATTACAACACAGAAAAGCTACCTTTTCTACGCAGTGTATTACGCAGTGTCATGTGGTTGTATTGATAACAGTCAAAAGGATGAGATAATTGCGTTACATACAGAGTAATTTAGCATTATACAAGTGCCTTTATAAATGAAACACTCAACATTCTTCTTATCGCAGTCGTGACGGCAAACCTTCCTGCGGAGACAGAACCACCGCCGGAGTCCGTGAGTGCCAGGCGTTCTGCTGGAGACGCCAGCGAGGAGTCGCCTGAAATGACGACTTCAGAAACTGCCGCGACTAAGCGACGACCGACGCACGGCGTCAAGAAATCGAGCGGGAAGAAGGAGAAACCGACTACGCAGGCTAGGAACAAACGCAAGCGCATTACCACAGACGCCAGCAGTGATCTCGCCAACGACGAAGGGGATATAAACGTTACCAAGACGGCAAAGACGAAACGCGAAAGCGACAGCACTCCATCACACGGTGAAATACGGCCACCTATGACAAAAAGAGGACACACTACTTTGACGACGGTGTGGGCGCGGCGCGTGGTGCCACATAACGGCGTCGAGAGAAATGGTTCAGTGGCCTCAACCTCTGCCGCCACCAAGGAGCCACTGAACGCTTCCTGGTCGAGCACGATCAAGGCGTCTGGACCTTCTGCAGCTTCAGTGGCGTCTTCTATCTCCATTCGGCAGACTCAGAGCTCATCCGTGATACGCAGTACTCTTTCTAAGCTGACCGAAATCAACACGACACCACGGACATCGCAGACAACCTCCCCGGTGCGTTCACATGCACACTCACCAACACCATCCACCACTATGTCAATTAAGTGGAAGAAAACTCATGCATCTACGGCAGTGTCCAAACCAGCGCCAACGCCGAAGAAAACACATGCTTATACGGCAGTGTCCAAATCATCACCAAAACTTGCGTTAAAGACATCCAAATTGCCACCTCCGACGTCCTTGCCGACCACTTCCACAACTACGGCCTTGCACTCCCGGAAGAGTGGCACTGCGTCAACCCAGAGCACCGAGGACGATCTAACTATTAACGACTTTCGTGATTAATAATTTTTTGCAGTCTGCGTCCGAGGACGTAATTTTTTTTTCACCTCGAGAGTGGTCACTAAACAATGTTGAAAAGTAATGCTTTTCAGGGTTTGACCATGATTTCCGTTTATTACTCCGTCAGCTACTGCACTAGCTTGCACATGTCCTTGACTACCTAACGCTAGATATTCGGCAATGCGCCACAGCTATTGCCTAACATATCAGATGTTCTCATACCGTCACAACTATTCTCGTAAGATATCACGTATTCACATTGAGTTCGTACACAGCTGAAGCTTAAGTGTCAGTGCACTCGAAGGAACTTTACACAGTCTAGGTTCGATAACTTCTGAAGGCCCCATGTAGATGTCGCTCCCGATTATTTTTGGCTAAGACGCATGTACAGAGCTTAGTATGCTTGAATCAATATGCCATGGTACTTAAACTTATCAGTTGTGGGCAGTGAACGAATGTAATGCCACCCTCATCGACAATTGTATTAGACAACGGTAGCCCCTGGTGTTTTGGATATAATACCCAGCTACGAGTGTTAATTAGATGCTGCCTTGTGACAGCTACAAGCAGGGTGTGTTTTTTATGTGTATTACTGAATTACACACTGTTGAACAAATAAAAGTGTGGCCTCCAACCATGATTTTATTTTAAGCGTAGTGCAGCGAAAGTGAATATCTGCACTTACTGCAATATATTTCCAATAAACAGTTACCTGGCATTATATAAACCGGAGAAAAGCACTGCGTTTTAACAAGGTAGCGTTCAAGAACTCGTTTCGCAGAAATACCGGTGTCAGCGTTGGTGTCCCTGGTTGTGAGCGAAAAATCGGCATTGTCGGTAGCAAAAAAATCAAGAAAAATACAAATGATAAAAATCTCAAGTACGAGCGGGAATCGAAACCAGGCCGGTTGCGTAGCAACCTGATGTTCTACGCCAGATTGACGTGAATGCTTGAAACTCCTTAAAAGATTGGTACTGGTACGGGCATGGAACGAGATTGGGAAATGAGGCTGTATGCGTAGCAACCTGACGTTCTACGCCAGAGTGACGTTATTGCTTGAAACTCCTTCGAAAAAAAAAATATTGCCACGGGCCTGGAACGAGATTGGGCTATGCCACTTTCTGTATGTGCCCTGGTGAGAAATAAGAGAAGACAAAGAAGAAAACTAGACGACGAGCTCGTGTCTCTGGTGGTCGGTGCGGCTCAACGTGCAGTGCTCCTATGAAAAGACGTTTTGTTTTATTCGTAATCACGTGACAAAATGAATGTCATGCCGTGAGAAGTCTCCTTAACTCGTCTAACATTGCAAGGCAGAAGCGTATACAAAATCGTGCCAGGAGACAAAACGCGTAAATTGGGCAACGAACTAGCGTTTATTAGGACCATTCATTAAAAAGCGCTGAGACATAATCAGTCGTAATCATCAGCAGAAGATTCGGAAAATGAGCAGCTGCGCAGGTCCGCGTGTTGCCTTACGAACGCATATTACGCACTTCACTGATTCCCGAAATTAAAAATTATGCCCTAGTGCACACTTCGCAACCACATACATTTAAAGTAGGCAGTCTAGGATAGTTTCAAACTGCCAGTGTTACTCGTGCAGCAGTTCTCTACCTTGCGACAAGGTTGAGGTGCCCACTGAGAAGAAGAAGCGAGGCTCTCGATTGAGGAGACGATACGAACGGGGCCCCATTGTGCTATCTCATTATACTCTTGAAGGCGAAGCTCAAGAGTCCTCCAACTTTTTTTTTTTCATGCACACGTTGTGAAAGCAAACTCTTTATCTACTGTGTACATGAGCAGTGCATGCCAACTGCTGAGCAGCGCCTTTGGCACTTAGAGGCAAAGCGTGTTGCTTCATCTGACGCGACATTGCGGCCTGCGATAACGACGCCTGGACTTGGTCCTATCGCTAGGTGCAGGTATTTTTCAACCTGTGCCATCAAAACAAAGTGACATCTCGTGCCCCCTTGGCGGTACGGTCAATGGGTGAATATGCCGTGCACTTCCGCGTTTCTTAAGGCAATGTCAGTTCACGTCTCCAGTGAAGGACGATCGCCCATTGCGCAACGTTTCGTTCATCTACCGGCACGCACCGCAAGCTCACCAGTGCTCAGTTCAGTTGTTCTTCAGTTTGAACACATCTACATGAGGCTCACCTATGCCCAATATGTAATGTAGTGCTGCGAGTATTTATGTCGGAACTACTGCAGCTGGCACTTGCTCACGCACTAGTGTTAATTTAGAACTGGCTAACGTCAGAAAGCGATTGCCGATGTTTGCTAATTGAGGGTTCGCATGCTTATTGCTGCTTACTTATGCTGTGTACATATCGCTAAGTGATTGCTAGTGCCAGCTTGAGTATGACAAACTGGTCGTTTAACGATAACTTTTGTGGTTTCACGCCCCAAAAGTATGATGTGATAATGAGAGATGCCGCAGCGGAAAGCTCCTTAAGTTTCGACCACCTGGGGTTCTTTAACATTCACCTAAATCTAAGCACACGGGCTTTAAACACCTTCGCTCCCATCGAAAAGCCGCCGTGGCCGGATAAACTGAACGTCTTATGTGGGCCGATGATGGTGAGTGCTACCTGTTGTAAGTTATCTAGAGATATAATCAGCATTGTCTCATTTAAATTGTAATGTATTCGCTGTGCTGTGTTGTGATACTCTTCCCGCAACTGCCGACTGAAAAAAAAAAAAGACTTGGAAAACGCTTAAGCTTCGAAGGTAGAATGTGATACCACGACCAGATCAATTCGCGTCGGCTTCTCATTAGCTAGACCGGCTTCCCTTCTCGGTGGGCATCTCAACCGTGCCGTGAGGAGAGCGTTTTCAACCAGCCATTTGACGGGCCGCGTTTCGAAAGCTAAGCCAAAATATTTCTTTTTTGCTTGGAATGGAATTAAACGACCAAACTTCTCACACGCATTTGGCACCTGAAGTTTCAATGTTTTCTACAGTAACACATGACAGTCTTCGAAATGAACGCGTGCCTAATGACACCCTTATTGGCAATAATTGCCCGTGAATTTAGAAAAGAATACTTTACCATCTTTTCGTTCTTTGAACGAGAGTATCCAGTAGCTGCTAAGAAATTTGTGTAACACATTTACACAGAATCCGTCATATTACGTGTCCGAAGGGGCTTTACAAAGCTTCCGTCTTCCATGCGCAACCGAACGACTTCGTGACTCTCTCGATAACAAGGGATTTATCAGGTGTCTCTCACCACACTGTTCCTTATTTTCAACAGATAATGGTAGAACGGGTCACTTGTCTCTCGGCCGCGCTATCGAAAGCCAAGTGTCCCTGGAAAAAACACCACCTCGAAGTCTGGCACACTGTCACAGAGTACGCAATATCACTATTCGCCCTTTGCGAGTGCCGTTTATCTGAAACATCACCGCAGTGGACAGGTTGGGAGAGCAACGTGAACATTGACATTAACTACCTGAAACATGCACCTCGCAGCATTTCTGCTCATTGCCGTTATTCTCCTTTACCTCTTCAGGTGAGTAACGTCGTCAATTATTTCCGCCTAGCCATGCAGAGGATGAACGCTTGCGCGATTTGTGACAATACGGAGCCAATGTCGCATTAATGTCAATAGAAGTAATGTTTAGTCCAATTTGGCTTGCAGTTAATTTCAGAAACATGTATTTCCAGGTAACTTCTGAATTTTTTTTATTGGAAGCTTAGATGTATTTATTAGTGCTGCGGTCATCCAATGCAGGGGTGGCATTCTGAGCAACCAAAATGGCAAATATACCAAAGCTTGTTCCTGTTGCGTAACTTTGCTCATTCAGTTATGTGGCACTACAACAAGACTTTTCAGTGCGGTATATACAATGAACCAAGATTATATTATGCTATGCGTGCCCACTTAAACGTCCGCATTGCCTTGTATCCTCTGTCTTAACGCCGAGCTAACGCTTTCCCAACTGAGCATAATGTAAACAGTCATTGGCTATCGTTTTTTTTTCTAGCTCGCGAACAACACATACAATAAATTATTGTGCTCAGGCGCTCATGTGAAAGGGAAAAAAGTGATTGGCATCGCATTTCGTATAACATTCTACACACAGGCTCCATACGAAAGTCATGGCGTTAAATATAATTGGATTTTGTTGCACCTGTAGCCTCTTCCCGATACTTCAGTTTTGCAGTGCGAAATCGTTTCTAGACCTGGGCTTGATGATGAATACATTTGCAGTAAGTACTGTCGGGAATATTTACGAGAGAAATAGACATATACAACCTTCGTTTTCGCAGTCGCAATGTTGCGCTGTTGTCTCACCTTGATATAGCGATGGTTCACGATAAAAAGCGATAAGGATACAAACAAGAACCATAATATTTAAAGCAGCGTAAACTACAGGTCAAGAACTATGCACTTAGAAGACTTGAAGAAGTAGAAGCTTAGAACGCTCGAAGGAGAAGTAGACATTTAAAATGCTTGGACATATGTAGGCACAACGCATACTTGTCACGTAGCTTGCGCTGCTTTAAATATTATGAAACGATACCAACTAGTCCATGGTTGTGCTCCTTGCTACAAAAGAAAACAACTAAACGGAAGGAGACAACTCAAAAGCGGTGTTTTTGTAGTCACGATCTCCTCCCTTGCGCCCATGTATGCACGTATACCTTTATTTGTTTGAAATGTGTAGTAACCAGCTGAAATTTGTGCCGTTCTAAGTATATTAGTGATCGCCTTACCACAGCTGTTTATGATGCAGGTTTCGTGCAAGTTCATTTCAAAGACCAGACTGCAACGTTTTACAGTGAAGCTCTTATGGTTGAGGTTTTCCATTCGTCATAGGTAGAAAATTATCGTTATCATGTTGGATGACTGCCCAAGCATTTTGTGCGAATAGTTAACAATGGAAGTTCAAACGTGCCTGCCAGCTCTGCTGTGGTCCAGTCTTACGTTGCACTATTTTTCGCACTCTCTTTCTCTCTTTTTTTAAACACAACGCAGGATGGTTAAGCGCACCTTCAGCTTCTGGGAGTCAAAAGGAGTGCCGTACTTGTCTCTGCCACAGTATATTGGTGTGCTTTACGATACCTTTACGAAGGTGAGATGTCTCCTATTCTCCAATGGCCAGACAGCTCGAACAGAAACTTACATCATATTCACTAAGAAGACTGTTTTTGTAAATGATATACAAGAATATATTTTGTAAATTGCTGCCCATATTTTGTTAACTGAGTGTCACCTAGACGCCTCTTCTTTGTGAATGACAAGTGAAGACTCATTTCATCTTTATGCATACTGTATTCTCATATATAGAGAGCAAAAACAGTAAACGGGCGTGTTCAATCTTGACGAAAACATGTCATTGTGTAGGCAGGCCTTGTGGTGAAGCTATATTACACTTGTACCCATGGACCCCGGCATATTTCGTAATTGCGTACCTATTGAGATCGTACCTCCTGGTAAGGAACAATATATTCTCTTACGCCCGCCTACATACAACATTATCATGTAGCAACACCCGATACATAGCCATGAAAAACAACGCAGCACATACGTCCTTACCCTCCCGCACACATAATGTTGCTGCTCAAATATTCGTTTACGTTCACTGATCCTTTGTTCCACATCCCTTTGACTGGTATTCTCGTTGGCACTGTTGCTTACGGAGTATTGCTGCAATCTTACAGTGCTGTTTTGCCTGCTATCTGATAACGTGACTGCGCGCACACTGCTGGTGTGCTTACTTCCTATACAAAAATACACGCATATGTTTTTTTATGTTACCGATATTAGTTAATGAGGAAGCAGATCCGATGACCCCGTAACATGAATATACATTTACTTGAATTAGGCAAGAGACGTCAGATTAACGAGGCGGTAGATTAAATATATTTTGAACCAGCTGTTGCAGCGTGGTTAAGCTCAGAGATCAAACGGAGACAGCCTTTCATTCTCTTCGTCGGGAACAGTTGTAACAGTAAATATCAATAGGCATGTAGCATAATCTCTGGTAAATAGCATTGGGGAGATTGTGTCCCCCTGCCTTACACCCTTCTTGATTGGTATTCTGTTGCTTTCTTTATGAAGCACTATTGTTGCAGTTGATCCTCTGTATATTTCTTCCAAGAGGTTTATATATGGTTCATCGACGCCCTGGTTCCGCAGTGTCTGCATGACTGCTGATCTTTCTACTGAATCAAACGCCTTCTCGTGATCAATGAAGACTATATATATATATATATATATATATATATATATATATATATATATATATATATATATATATATATTTCTTTGGGCACGCCGTCCCGGACCCTCCCGGCACCGCGGCGACAATCTTGGGTGGCCCGACACACGCCAAGAACTGAACAGCACGTGATATGAACCATAGGTGGATGTAGACGGACAGTTGGATTCGTTCCCAGTGTCGACAGTGGTTCTTCCTGTTTTTTTACTTTCTTTCTTTTCTTTCTTTTTTCGTCTTTTCTCTCTCTCTTTTTTTTCCTTCTTCCAGTTCCCTCTCACTCTCGCAAACGTCTTTCAAGGCGAGAGGGACGCGGCAGCAAGGAAGTTCATGTCAGTATAACTCATCCCCTGATGAAGGGAGGTCCCCTCCCGAAACTGTTGGGAAATAAATATATTTATCCTTGTTGACAACGCTCCCGTTGTGATATATCCCATACCTATATATATATATATATATATATATATATATATATATATATATATATATATATATATATATATATATATATATATATATATATATATATATATATATATATTATCGGAACCCTGCTACTGACCCTATCAATTTATGTAGAAAACCAAGAGCTCAGAATATTTGTTCCGTATGCATATTGCGGGAAGGAGTGTGCACCGACAAAAAACCCATTTACCGTCATCATTAAGTGCTCAATAACTAATTGACTGTACGTCACTCTCCAATTATCACTAGAAACGGTAATATATCTAGTGCAAGTTGTAAACTCCCTCAAAAAACTTTGATGCCAGTCACCTATTTTTTACTTCAGAAAGCAGCAGAATACCAATCAAGAAGGGGCTAAGGCAGGGGGACGCAATCTCCCCAATGCTATTTACCAGAGATTATGCTACATGCCTATTGATATTCACTGTTACAAGTGTTTCCGACGAAGAGAATGAAAGGCTGTTTCCGTTTGATCTCTGAGCTTAACCACGCTGCAACAGCTGGTCCAAAATATATTTAAAAAAATATAAAAAATATTTATTTTTTATCTCAGTGTTTTTTCTGAAAGCAAAAAAGCATCCGAAACACGTGAAATATGTAATAGGTGCGCGATTGCGTGCCACTGCATAAGCGCTACTGAACTAACTACTCAAGTGCTACCGAATGAAAGATGAATTCATGCCAGCATTCGTTTATATGAACGGTCACTTAGATAAAAGGGGCGCCCCAGCTATCTTTAGAAAAAACTTTTTAGACATGATCAAATGCAGATTTCCGAGTAATGCACGAAGTAGGTCACACTAGTTTTGTTTTCTTCGTAATTACCTGATTAGGCATGCTTACCCAACTAAATTTTGAAGCCGCAAAGCTAGACTGAAATTCCAATGAGAAAAAGCATTAGTGTAATTTTAAACTCTGACTATATACAGCTGTGGCTTTGAGCAAATGGCTTTACATAAACTGTAGACATGTAAATGTTGGGAAAAGTGTAAACCACACAGTCTTCTCCTCCCCCTAACTACCTTTATTCACTATGCAGTCGTCTACATACGCCCACGTTGACCATTATGTCATCGCTTTTATGCGTAGTCAGACAGGCGATGAACCTTCCCCAAGTCCTGAGGGATAATGTATAAAACACGGTTTTCCAGCAAGTTGCCCACTATTGATTGAAAACTGAAGTATTATCATACTACAAATCTAATTATATGGCAACTACTGCCAGCTGCGCGAAGCATTAGGAACTAGTTTTGAAAAAAAAAAAAAACGTGGCTTCCATAACCTAGCCTTGCCCAATGCTTTCACGAGTTATCGTGAATCAGAAATAGTACGTTGTTTTCTTGTATTGACATATTCAGGAGATATAGATAACGCATCGATTTAACCTACTGCAGCCACTACCGGACGTTGTGCGGAACAATCATTTGAAGTACGGAAAGCTCTACGGGTAAGAACACTAAACAAATTTTTGTAAATCCCGTCTGCCATATTTTGCTTTTTTCACGCTTATATTTGACTTCACTAGATGCATTTTACCTCCTATAGAACTAGTTTTTTCTCAAAATAATAATACAAATGACTTTTTTTTTCAGTTAGGGAACATGTACGCTCTTTAATGCTTGGCAATTGCTACTTTTCTGACCAAGAACGTTGTGTCAGTGACATACGCATGGTTTACGCGTGATTGCGCATGATTGAGTGATATACGCATGATTGCTCATGGCAAGCAAGTGTTGAAAGAAAGGCTAGTAAGACGCGGCGATGGAAGTTAGCCCACTCTACTTGGATCAACGTACCACTAGTGATGCATAATTTCAAAAGAACATGAATGAATGATTGAATGGACGAACTCACTTCGGAACATAAACCTTTCTCTTCCGAAGCACACGTAGATATGTGCGACAATAATCACAATATGTGGAACATTACAATACGTGGCAATTCGATCAAAGTGTTGCGCACTAGGTCGGAGCACAATTCAGTATAATTCGGGACTCAAATGACGCTTGCTTTAGGCCTCGCTAAGCGGGCACCTGCGTATTCTTGCAGAGTTCTACGCATACTTGCCCTCACTGATTTTGTACAAACTGGTTTTTTATCCACGTGGTTAACTGATACGAATATTCTAGAGAAAATAGCCCGAAAATTTCTGACGTTTCACGTCCCACAACCATGTTATGACTGTATGAGAGACGCCGTAGTGAAGTGCTCCGGAATTTTCGAGTATCTATAGTGCATGGTTTTTACATGCACCGATGTGACGCAGTGTGTGAACCAATGGAATATCTCCTTCACGCCAAGGCTTCGGCAAGGATACATGCAATGGCGTTATAAAGACAGCAGCCATGTACTGTAACCTCTCTATCGCCTCGGTGGACGATTGCACTAATAAGATAAAATAATATGTTGCGCTTTCATACGGCGGCACGTGGTTGATGCATCGATACTATTGTCGTCATGTTCTCATCGATTATTCTGCCAACAATAGTATCCTAAGAGCAATTGCTCACATTGTGTTATGTGCGCGAATAAAACCGAAGACAATCACTTCTCTCGGGCAATTGAGCAAGCCGCTTTCGTTAATATGTAAAACTCATCCCCATTTTGCCTACTAATTCATGTTGCGCTGTTGCGGCATAGTACCGCTATTAGGTTCAAGTCTGAGTTTTTTTAATTAGAACGGCGCCATCTCGCAACATTGCTGATGCATTTTTCTTGTCAATGCTCTTGGCGTATTTTATTTGCAGCCAGCACACGCAAAGAACGAAAGATGAAAAGGTTGGCAGATTTTTATGTTAAACAGACATGGCGTGCAAACAAGAACATCTGGAAAGACTTTGTGAAGGACAACTCAATCTAAGAACATCACTCAGCTCTATGCAGGCAGGTTAATTGAAGTAGTGAAACACTAGCCCACTTGGGCGTCGATCGAAACGAAGCGGAATCAACTGGGCCCAAGTTTAGCAACAAAAAGTGTCAGGGACCTTATAAACTTTATATTCGTTAAACTCATTCTGAACATAAATTCCAGTGCAAGATAATCACGTCGTCTACTAAACAAAGCTTTGGCGTAATGAAGACGGAGCTTGTGGAATATTTTGTAATATATGTCGTCATTGTGAAATAACGTCCCCGTATTCTATACACAAGTCCATCTGAACCTAACACCTGCAGTCATATTTTGAACTTCGAAGCAATTCTTAGCAAAACAAAGGCACTTTGACTGTTTATATCTATTCTTCTATCTAGCCATGCATATACGTCTGTGTGTTCTCAAGGTTCTGCCCTTAACATCATATGTGCCAAAATGCAAAGTCAAGAGTGACAGGCGAAGATAATTCGCCGGTTACGATGAGAATGACGGCATGGATAAACTGATGCGCCTGCCTCATACGTGATGAAAATCTATATTGAGGTCACATCTGACACATTGCCGCATATACCCGCTTGTGTTATATATTATGTGTCACACGTGAGTGACAGTATATCAGTCCAGGAATCGCACGAGTACACATCAGAAACTTCGAAAGTTTGCGATGGTTAAACAAGGGGATGACATACCCAGACAAATGGTAATGAGTGAGTGAGTGAAACAACTTTATTCAGTCCACAATAGACGCGAGTAAACTCAGCGTCACCTGGCTAGGCCCACTCGGGGACCATCAGGTTAAACCTGACGGCCCTCGCGCGGGCCCTCTGGACGGCCAGGATTTGAGAGGTCTGGTCCTGCGCCTTAATGAGTCGCTTCATTTCCTCTTGGGTGAAAGGGGGACCGGCAGAGGCGCAGCCCCACAGTACATGCTCGAAGTCCGCATAACCACCACACAGGGGGCAGTCCGGACTTGGAAATCGTTCAGGGTACATTGTGTGCAGTGCCGCAGGGCTCGGGTAAGTGTTTGTTTGTAGCAGTCGGAGAGTAACAGCTTGGGCCCTGCATAGCGAGGAGTGTGGTAGAGGCAGCAGTCTTCTTGACAGATAGTGGTGCTTGCATATCTCGTTGTACGAGCAGAGAGGCTCAGGTCGCCCAGGAGATGACGCGTTACCCGGCACACGGTCAGTCAAACCTCGTGCAGCCGAGTGCGCCTCCTCGTTGGGATTGAGCGAGGCACCCTCAATGGTTCCAAGGTGCGCAGGAAACCAGACCAATGAGTGATTTTTGAGGTCTTTGACTTTTTGAATAATCTGTAGGACCTGGGGAGCCACCATGCCCATCTGGAAGGCCTTGATAGCGGCCTTGGAGTCTGAATAAATTGTGTCATGTACACCGTCCGTCAATGCAAGAGCAATGGCAACCTGCTCTGCAACGCTGTAACTAGAAGTGCGGATGGTAGCGCAGCTGATGATGATTGATAAATATTTGGGGTTTAACAGCCAAAAACCATCATATTGATACGTGTATGAAACTGTCGCACCGACACAGCTGAATTGGCACCCAAATGAAGAAGATGACAACGTGGTTGTAGTGGGTTGGACTCTGAAGCTTCTCCCTTTGGCCTGCTTGACTGTGCGCTCTCTAAGCCGTTAGCAAGACCAGCTCTCGGTGAATAAATCTTTCCCGTAACATCTTTTGGTGGAAGGTGCTGGGTCTTCACACAACCCGGCTCTGGAACTCCACAGTGGACGCCAGCTTTATCCAGCCGCGATGCCTGAAACTGGCACTCAGGCCTCGCCATCCGCGCCGGCTCCATCACCTGTGATTCCCCCCCATCTTCTCGACCCTGGCACGTTTTCCGGGACGGACAGCACGGACGTCGAATAATGGCTCGCACTATTCGAGCGCGTCAGCAAGCACTGCAGGTGGGACGAAACGCTTATGATGGCAAATATTCTATTCTACCTACGTGGTACGGCACGCGCCTGGTATGAGACGCATGAAGAAGAATTAACCAGCTGGGACACATGCAAGCAAAAGCTTCGCGATTTGTTCGGTCGGTCAGTTGCTCGTCAGATGGCAGCCAGGCAGGAACTCGCGTCGCGTGTTCAATCATCGACGGAGTCTTACGTCACGTACATCCAAGACGTACTGGCACTGTGCCGGAAGACGGACAAAAACATGTCCGAGGCGGACAAGATCAGCAACGTGTTGAAAGGCATTGCTGATGATGCTTTCAACATACTAATGTGCAAGAACTGCACCACTGTCGACTCCATCATATCTGAATGCCGGCGATTTGAGCAAGCTAAAAGCAGGCGAATCACCCACCAAATCGCGAGACTACCAAACACTGCTGCGACTTCGTCTTGCGAGGATTCTGCAGCGACCCGTTCACTTGCCCCTCCTGCCAATATCGCAAGGATTGTTCGCCAGGAGCTGGAAGCCATGGCACCCGCTTCCTATCAGCCCCCTGCGCAAGACAACTGGGCAACAGCCTCGCTTATTCAAGCCGTCGTACGTCAGGAGTTTGCTAACCTGGGCGTCCAGGTTCCCCAGCCCACCAGACTTATGCCGCAGCCCATGACCACTCCCGTCCAAAACGCTGACCACCACTCTGCTCCACTTGTCGCTGCGGCAGCTTCGACTACTCGGTTTCCTCCACGCTACCGAAATCCATCTAAGTGGCGCACGCATGATGATCGACCAATCTGCTTTTCTTGCTCTCGAGTTGGCACATCTCCTGCCATTGCCGCAACAGGTCGTATTTCCGGCCAAGCTTTCGTAATGTAGATCGCCGTCAGGACCGCGGACACTATTCGCAACCCGGTTTTACGGATGACCATATTCTGGACCCTTCAGCTCGCCGTTCATTTCCACGCTCCGAACCGTCCTACGCCAACGTCGCCGCCCAGAGAAACTGGTCCAGCCGCTCGCCGTCACCTCAGGGTCGGCCGTCACGCTCCCCTCAACGCCGCCACTCTCCGTCACCGGCTTATTCTGCCCATTCCCCGGGAAACTGACGAGTGCAGCTCCTGGAGGTGGCGCTGCATTGACGACTCGGAACGAAAACCCTCAACCGGCTACAAATTCAAGACGCAATTTACTTCGGGTGTTCGTTGATGGCCACGCCGTTACTGCTCTAATTGACACTGGTGCCCAAGTATCTGTTATGAGTTCTACACTTCGATCTCGCATGAAAAAGGTTCTCACACCAGCTATGTGCTCTACTGTTCGAGTTGCCAACGGAAGTTGAACATCGGTGCTTGGTATGTGCACTGCCCGCGTTACTGTTGCTGGCCACCACACTTCCGTTCTCTTCGCAGTCCTCGATGCTTGCCCACACGACGTCATCCTTGGAATTGACTTCTTAACCGCCCACTCCGCCCTCATCGATTGTTCTACCGGTATCTTACGGCTCGAATTGCCTTTGTGCTCCGATTTCACACCTCCAAGTCGCACTCGGCTACGATCCGTGGAGTCTCTACGGCTACCGCCCCAGGCTGCTATGTACATTCCTCTGTCGCCCTTCCCGTCCGTTCCTGATGGAGACTATCTGGTAGCTCCCCTCATTGATTTGACTCTTACGCACAACATCGCACTACCACATACTATAGTGGTTGTTGCTAACAACACGGTGCTACTTCCAGTTCTGAACTTCTCTACGTCGACCCAAGTGCTTCCCCAAGGCATCACTTTAGCCGATCTTTCCACCCTTGATGAATGTTCGATTTGTTCTTTTACACCAGACACTAAGACCATGAAGAAACCTGTTATCACGTCGCAAAATAAGGCGTTCCTCGACAAAATGATATGCAGTGACCTCTTACCTTCCCAAGTTGCGGCGCTCCGGGGTGTTCTATTTTCTTACCTGGATATCTTTGACGTTGACGACCGTCCCCTGGGCCGCACAAGTGCCGTAACCCACCGCATCGACACCGGTGACGCCAGTCCACTTCACAAACGCCCTTATCGCGTGTCACGTGCTGAGCGCCAAGTAATACAGACGGAGGTCGAGAAAATGCTCAGTAAAGACGTCATTGAGCCATCATCGAGTCCTTGGGCCTCCCCTGTGGTCTTAGTTAAAAAGAAGGACAACACCTGGCGTTTTTCCGTCGACTATCGCCACCTGAATCGGATCACCAAGAAGGACGTTTATCCTTTACCTCGCATCGATGATGCGCTCGACTGCCTCTACGGCGCCAACTATTTCTCGTCCCTTGACCTTCAATCCGGATACTGGGAAATTTCGGTCGACGACCGCGACCGCGAGAACACGGCATTCATCACACCCGACGGCCTTTACCAATTCAAGGTCATGCCTTTTGGTTTGTGCGATGCCCCGGCTACTTTTGAACGTATGATGGACTCTCTTCTTCGCGGTTTCAAATGGTCGACCTGCCTCTGCTATCTGGATGATGTAATAGTTTTCTCACCCTCCTTCGAAAGCCACCTGTCTCGTCTCTCGGCAATTCTTGACGTGTTTCGTTGCGCTTGTCTCCAACTCAATTCGTCGAAATGCTCATTTGGACGTCGGCAGATTAAACTACTCGGCCACCTTGTTGACGCCACTGGTGTTCAACCCGACCCTGACAAAGTCCGTGCAGTCCGAGAATTCCCGGTTCCGCGTTCCACACAAGAAGTTCGCAGTTTTATTGGGCTCTGCTCATACTTCCGCCGCTTTGTCTTCAATTTCGCGGATATTGCTAGGCCCCTCACGGATCTCCTCAAAAAGAATGTGGCATTTTCTTGGGGAAGGGACCAAGAACATTCCTTCGCGTCGCTAATTACCGCCCTCACATCACCACCTGTGTTGGCTCATTTTGATCCAGCGGCTCGAACAGAGCTTCGCACCGATGCAAGCGGCCATGGCATTGGTGCTATACTCGTTCAGATACAGAATGGCACCAACCGTGTGATAGCCTACGCTAGCCGTCTTTTGTCGCAAGCGGAACCAAATTATTCCATCACTGAGCGGGAATGCTTAGCCCTCGTTTGGGCTATTGCGAAATTCCATCCGTACTTATACGGACGTCCGTTCGCAGTCATCACGGACCATCATGCGCTTTGCTGGCTGTCGACGCTTAAGGACCCTACAGGAAGACTCGGCCGATGGGCACTTCGATTACAGGAGTACACGTTCTCGGTTGTTTACAAATCTGGAAAGCTGCACAGCGATGCTGACTGCTTATCCCGGCACCCTGTTGATCCACCTAGCTCCACTGATTTGGAATCCGATGCCTGCGTTTTAGCCATCACTGACTTTCTGAACGTGGCTGACGAACAGCGCCAAGATCCATCGCTGCTCACCATCATTGACCGCCTTCAATCGCGTTATGCTGACCCTTCTCTTAGCAGATACCTGCTTCAAGACAACGTTTTGTACCACCGCAACTTACACCCCGACGGCGCCGAACTTTTACTCGTCGTACCGCATAACCTGTGAAAGGATGTTCTGCGACAATTCCACGACGCTCCAACTTCTGGACATCTAGGAGTCTCCAGAACTTACGACCGCATTCGAAGACGAGTATTCTGGAAGGGTCTGTACCGCTCTGTTCGCCGTTACGTCACATCTTGTGACCTCTGCCAGCGCCGAAAGAAGCCTACGACTCCCCCTGCCGGTCTACTTCAACCTATTGAAGTTCCAGCCGAGCCATTTTATCGAGTGGCGTTGGACTTGCTAGGCCCTTTTCCTACTTCTACTACTGGAAATAAATGGATTGCAGTGGCCACAGACTATGCCACTCGGTATGCAATCACTCGAGCGCTACTAACCAGCTGCGCAACCGACGTTGCCGACTTCCTGCTGTACGACATTATTCTCCAGCACGGCGCTCCGACTCACCTGCTCACAGACCGTGGTCGCTACTTTCTATCTCGTGTCGTTGATGATCTACTCCGATCTTGTGCTACCCGTCACAACTTCCCCACATCTTACCACCCTCAGACTAACGGCCTTACGGAGCGACTAAAACGCAAATTGACGGACATGCTTTCCATGTACGTATCTGCCAACCACACTGATTGGGACATAGCTCTTCCGTTCGTAACCTTCGCCTATAACTCGTCGCGTCATGAAACAGCGGGCTACTCCCCTTTTTATCTACTCTACGGACGTCATCCCTTACTGCCCTTCGACACACTGCTTTCATCAGACCACCCATCCTCCACCTCGTACGCTCAGGATGCAATCACCCGTGCCCTCACGGCACGTGCGGTAGCGCGTGCTCGGTTATCGTCGTTGCAGACAGCACAGAAGTCTCTTTATGACCGTCGACATAGAGATGCCGTTTTTTCTGCGGGAACTCTTGTTCTCCTGTGGCTCCCATCTCGACGTGTTGGCCTCTGCGAGAAACTACTATCGCGATACGCTGGGCCCTACCGAGTCATTCGTCAGGTCACACCTGTGACCTACGAGATTGCCGCTAGCACAAACTCATCAGCTGCTGCTCCCAGAACGGAAGTGGTCCACGTTTCTCGTCTCAAGCCCTACAACGCCGACTCGCTCATTCAACAGGCACCGAGACGGTGCCTTACGGGCCGGGGTGATGATACGTGTATGGAACTGTCGCACCGACACAGCTGAATTGGCACCCAAATGAAGAAGACGACAACGTGGTTGTAGTGGGTTTGAAGCTTCTCCCGTTGGCCTGCTTGACTGTGCGCTCTCTAAGCCGTTAGCAAGACCAGCTCTCGGTGAATAAATCTTTCCCGTAACAATATGATTATGAGAGACGCAATAGTGGGAGGGCTCCAGAAATTTCGACACCCTGGGCTTCTTTAACGTGCACCCAAATCCGAGATCACGGGCCTACAGCATTTTCGCCCCCATCGAAAAGGCAGCCTCTGCAACTGGGATTCGATCGTGCCACCAGCGGGTCAGCAGCCGAGTACCTGAGCCACTTTGGCCCCCGCGGCGGGGCCCAAGGCAAATGGCATAAGTAATAAAAAGGCATAGCACACTGATAAAGACATTCTATTTGTTAAAGTTTGGGTTTTTATTACAGCAGACAAATGTTAGCAAAGAATCTGAAACAACACTTAGCCAGCAGCATCAGAATGTTTTAGCTATTGTAAATAAATGATGTATTAACATCAATGGTTGCTGAACACAAGTTGCGCTAGAGGGCCATGTCTAGCATGAATGATGTTTTGTTCAACATACTGCTTTGGGCATTGTATATGTACACATATGTATCCGACCTATACAGTCTAGCACGACTAGTCACTATAGAATTAAGTCGACAAGTACTGCGTACATTTTGTTTCGATAAAGCGACGTCTGTTTTGTAAATATTGGTGCCGAGGTAAAGTAGCCCTAAAAGCTACCCTATTCGCGCAGGTGTATAGACGACGTGCTTGGTAAGCCCCTCATATTCATACAGCTATTGAATTTACCCAAAGCCATAAGCCCGCCTTCTAAAGCCTGGCTAAAAGCCAGAAAATATGCCGCATACGCAGCTATTCACTGATTGCTTCGCACGAAATACATTTTTACAATGCATGGGGTCTCCTAGAGTTTTTTTCATCCCTCGGTGTATCACGAGTACTTAGAAGGAATGTCCTCGAACACCCTGTGTCGGCAAGAAATTTTCGGGTGTGCTGGTCACATGTGATTTCTTGGTTTGCACTTACAACGAGAATTTAAAATTATCGTGATCCTAATCACCACCTATTCCACGCTGTTTAAATTCAGATCTTATCAAGGTTTCGTGCCTTGTCTCGTCGTTGGAGACCCGGATGTGCTGCGCATCGTGTGCGCCAAAGATTTCAAGTCTTTCGTCGACAGAACGGTGAGTAATGGGATTACTTGTAGAATTACAGCTGCTTTGAAAGTGCGTAAACTAAATCACCTACTTACACTACGCTTGTGTATGAATGTAGTTTTCACAATAACCTTGATTTGCTCAAAAATTGAAGGAAATTATGAAAAATTAACAAGACGTTATATATTTTTTTAATCACGCAGTACTTCAGGGGTCCGGCTTGCCAGCCATCGACAGTGCCATGTAATATGGTAACGCAGCGGTCAATACAGGCCTAAACAATGCCAACATTGCTCAACGTCAGTGCAAATTAACCAACTTAGTCTCAATTATTAGCAACAACTGAAATGATCATGAGTTATTCAAAATAAGTCACAGTTTTGGCACAATGCCGAAGCAAGGAACGCGATAGAACCCATCGGACTGTTATATGAAGTAAAGCTCAGGGGCCGAATTCACAAAGCTTTCTCTTTGGCTACGCATTTTCTTAGCCAAAAGTTCTCTTATCTGGAGGGATTACTATAGCGCGGGTATGAATTTAACTTATTCGGCACTTAAGAGGGTAAGGAGGACACACGATAGCCAATGAAACGACAAGGAAAGAAAGAAGTGTGTGCCGATAATATCAAGGTAGCACGTAAAGCGTCTAGCATCGAGAGTATACGATGATAGCCAATGATTTGCTGCATCTAAGTTTCAGTTCCGCGAGCGTCTGCTACAGCGCTTATGGGATGCCGCGTACGTTGTAATAGACGTTTTGGTGGGCTGTGCAAAGCCAAGCACTCGCCTTTAATCAACGACTGTAGCTAAAAAAAAATAATTGCTCGATGGCCTTAAGCCACCGAGCAATCCATGCACTATCTCGCCAAGTACAAGTAAACAGCACTCCAGGTGCACCACATAAATGAAACCACACATAAATCGATACATGCAATGTTTGAAAATGTGCCTCGAATGTCTTCCCCTATATAACGCGACCAGTTACCTTACATTTCATTGAAGCTGCGCTGCTACTTTACTAATTCGGTGCAATCTAGCACGTTATAGTGGTGAACGTAAGGGTGTTTTGTACCTATAGTCAAAGGTTAATTTTCTGGCCCTGCGGACGTCAGGGAAAGTCTTCGCAAAGCAGGGTCAGATGCTCAGAGAGCATAAAAAAGTGGAGTACGCGTTATATGGGAGTGACAGCCACTCAGAAAGCGAGATGAAGTGTGACTGTCCTTAGGCGTGAGAATCAATGCTAATTAAGAGAGTTGAGTTAATGAGCCAGAACTTTCCTAAATAACGATAATGGAAGCAAACTGAGCATTCATCTAGTGAAAGTGACACTAGTGACAGTGAACTCATAATAGTTCATTAGCGTTGTCACAGGCCGATATATATTTTTATTTTCTTATCTATATTTGGCAAACTATGAGAAGGTAGCGTACGTTAGAGCCGGCTATCCCAACGTCATGACAGTAATGTACAAGAATAAATAGCGCACGGTTATACAGTCGCACGTGGCAGTTTCTATATTCTAGTAACCTTGGGTAAACGCATTCTAACTATTTTTTTCTATTTTTGACAAAGTTTCACGGGACGTTTTTGCATTTGGCTTCATTCGAAGGAATGACGATATATCAGCAATAGGGCGAACACAAGCACTGCTGCAGTGGACGAGCGGTTACAGCGCTCAACTACAATCTAGGAGGTACTTGGTTCGATTCGCAGAATCACTGAGCACTTTTTTTCTTTTCAAGAGGTTGCCCGGCCTGACATTATGCTTGGTGGCGGGTACTAGTTTTTTGAGAAGTAGGCTTTCGCACTTGCTTCTTTCACTCCCCTTTTGACCCAAAAGCGCTGTACTGTGCTCCTTCAAAAATAAAACAATTCAGGGTTCATAATTTTTTCCTCCATCCTCTCTTATCGCAAAAGTGTCCAGTGCTGAAATACCAATATCATACCTGGTATATTATTTTCACGTGTTTGGATATTCGACCAGCAATCAGTCTTCACGGTGTTTTGAAGAAAATCTACACACGCAGTGAGCTAACTGCTTGCAGCCAAGTTGACTGCCTTTGTAGGGACACGCTTTCGTGCTAATTTGGTGGGCATCATCACATGCAGCAAGACCAAAGAGCACGGACAGTTAGAGCTGACGCAAACAGAGTGATTAGTTTGTGTCTTCTCTCCCGCTATTTGTCATGCTGCACGCTTCAGTGTAATGTCGCTGTCAATGGTTAAAATGAACTATAGCAGTTAATCGAGTTCTGCTGAGAGGGTCCCCTATTGTCCAGAATGGAACAGAACAATGGCAATTTGATTTGTGTGATAAAGAGATACCCTGCTTTTGGTTACTAGAATAAATTTCTAAACTGAAGTTTATTTTTTTATTAACAACAGTTCCAATGCAGATGAAAGGTGCATGGACAAAATTCGTGTATTCAGCTTGACTAGGTTTTTGACCTTAATTGTAATTGCGAACCGGTATCACAGTATGCATAAATATCACACACATATACAACCACGGGTGAGAGCTTGCTTATTCTGATTAAAGTTGAAAGGTTGAAATCGACATATTCAACCAACGCAATGTGTACGAGATATGCCATGTAGAGTAGCTATGCTCGAAACTAATCTTCGCAGGTTCGTTCCATTTTACCCAATTTCTTGCCCATGACTGTAGGTTGGTAAATGAAACTTCTTCGAACAGACATATTCTGTGTAAGCTTACATTTATTTTTATGCAGTACAAAACAAGTTGAAATGTATAATGGCTCAAAAGAGAAATAACTAGAAACAAATTCAGCCAAATCATTACCAAACTTACTCACCAATGCTAAACGGATTCTCATTTAAAAGATACATACATACATACATACATACATACATACATACATACATACATACACACACACATACATACATACATACATACATACATACATACATACATACATACATACATACATACATACATACATACATACATACATACATACATACATACATACATACATACATACATACATACATACATACATACATACATACATACATACATACATACATACGTATACGCACACACACATATACATATGTACACCCATACATACATACATACACACACTCAGGTGTAAATATTAAAATGAATGGCTATAAAACAACAATTCTAATACACTCATTTTGAATATACTACAGAAATTAACTTACGAGAGAAATCCACCGGCACTGTTATGTCTGAACACGGTGTTTCTCGAACCATCTCGCAAAAGCATGATGCATAGTTTTCCGCTGCTGCCCAGTGACAAGCAGTTTTTTTAAAAAACACAAGAATAAAGCCCTTGACAATATCTTGCTAAAGAAAAGGGCTGTACATCAATATTTTGTACATGTCTGCAATATCACTCTGTTTATTTACATAGCTTGGCTCATTCACAACCCACTAACAAAGCATGTTAGGACACTTGGGCTGAAAGTTGGCACAGCGCGAGTAAATTCTAGACAATATGTGAATAGTACAATTATGAGCTACTAAGCTCCTTGGTGCAAACAGCGTTTATATTGACAGCTATAAGTGCCATTTCGTTTCCCCAAAACGCTTCTCAAATGTAGAATCAACTTATAGCTAAAAGTTTCTATTCTGGCGCGTCGTGGTGGCTCAACGGTGAAGTGACTCTTTCGGCCAAGAAAACAAAGACCAATTATTTTTCCAGTTTGTGAATTCACCCCATAATAACATTGAGGCAGCTGGTAGGAGTGCTTTTGGAGAGAGGAAACCACCACATTCCCACCAGTTGTGGCCTTGGGTAGCTACTTCACTTGGACAAAAATGATGAAAAACACTCCTCAAGAAGACTTCAAAGTTTGGGCATCAATACAGTTCCCATACAGCTGTCTATTAGTCTGCTTGAAAAATATGAGTTTACTGGTGGGCAAAGACTGTACACTATGTGAGGTGATGCTCCAGTGCACTGCATGTATGTCTTGCTGCTGGCCTCAACTGCGATGTTGCTCAGCACATATGTGTAAAATAACAACTAATACTATGCCACTGCAAAGTAATTATGTGTCATTTGCATGAAACAGGGACCACAATAAAAGAACATAACAACATTTGACTTCATAAAGTTCAATAAATGTAAATAAATTTCCACAGAGTTTTCACAGTTCATTTGTGGATAGTAATATTGGTTGTAAACACATTCTTCCTTCCACTAACAAACCATTTTAAGATGCCAGATTCAATATTAGAGTATACCAGCACTTTTGTAGGGCTAAACAATTGTACAGGCACCTAGAAAAACACAAGTCAGTGCATACTATAGCTACATATAAAAATAAATACTTTTATTTCTAGTGTGAGTAGAGCTGCATAGATGATAAGTCACTTGCATTACATTATGAACAAACCTATCCGAGCAAAGTATGCATATAAAAAGTTACACTTACACAGTAGATAAGTAGACTGTTGAAGGACGGATAGGCAGTGGGATAATACCCAAGCACTAAAATCTACTGTTAAGATATACTAGGAGTAGTGATGATCCTCTTCCTTCCAAATAAAATAATTCACATGGATTCACTTCCCAGAGCTTATACACTCATGGCATCATTGGTGCTATACAAATGAGTGTACACTGAAGGATTACATCGACTAAGTACATGATTACTGCATCCATGGCTTTACTTCTTGTACTACAAAGAATGTAAACACAGTTACCAATGGCGACCATAGATGCTGTGATTTCTGGCATGTAAATGTAGAGGCACGCAGGCACTTAACACACATGTTAAAAACTTCAGCTCAAAAATATTTGCCCACTAACAATACAGCAGCCTTTAAATTAGTGTCATAGTTTGGTATGTTCCACGGAAAATTTAAATAATTTCGAATGCAAGCAAATGAACTGCTGAATAATGCACTGCTAAGAAGTTAAGCAGCAGCTGCTCCTGACATCACAATGTGCCCTTTCTGCTGTTGTAAACTTTGAGCAGGAGAACAGTCACTGGCAGTCCCTCTACACTTGTTGGTCTTCTGTGCT